CCAATCTTAGGTTTGAGTTCACTCTGAGGTTACCGCCGATGAGGCGCACGAGCGGCCGATCACTGGTCTTCGGTTTGGCGACACATCTGGGACTTCGGACCAACTGTTGGTGACATTCGGGACACGATTTGTTCTCAACGAGCCATCGGTCGAGACATCGGAAGCAGAAGGTGTGCAGACATTGTGTGTCCACCGGATCGCAGAGCACGTGAAGACATATACTGCACACCAGGTCTTCGGCGATGGCGCAGATGGTCGACAGCTTCGGGAACCGCTTCTGATCGAAGCCCACCATTGGATCAGTTGTTGTGATCACTTGAGTCACTCAATGGTCACTACTTTCTCCACTCAAAGAACTTTTTGATCGTCTGTTCCCTCCGTTTGTGTCCATAAATGACGACAATTGCTGTGTTTTTGAGGTTTGGTTCAAAAGTTTTGCTTTTTTTCAGTTCATTTGAATTATTATTAATTTTAATGTTTTTTACGTCAATTGCTTTCAAATGATTTGTGTTTTACATGTCGTTTAGAGTATTGAATGATATTTTTAGACTCAGTTTCCGGTCAACTAATGATTAAAATATGGTTTTTGTCTATAAATGAGTGGAGCTTTGGTTGAGTCCATCGATTCTGTCGGCATTTTCGTTGAATTCGTGGTCAGAATTCTGTGCCGATTCTGTCGACAAGATTANGTATTGAATGATATTTTTAGACTCAGTTTCAACTAATGATTAAAATATGGTTTTTGTCTATAAATGAGTGGAGCTTTGGTTGAGTCCATCGATTCTGTCGGCATTTTCGTTGAATTCGTGGTCAGAATTCTGTGCCGATTCTGTCGACAAGATTATGGCTTTCCGCCAAAGATCTCGATATTTGTATTGACGGGCACCGGTAGTCTCATCACTAGAAACCCCACTTGAAACCTCACTTGAAACCCCACTTGAAACCCCTGGCACCCTATTATCTGAATCTACCGGTGCTGTCAATTCGTGCTTATTTTCGTCAATAGTCTTAAGCTTGAGGCCAACAACCAAATCGTGCCATTTCTTGATAATAGTTTTATTGATAAACCCGTGCTCTGGAACGGCAGCTATATGTTGCACATTAGGGTTGAACAGTACTTTTCGATGGCTTTCCGTCACTTTATTATCGCATTTACTGTCTATTAAGTCCACAAAACGTTTGGCCTCTTCCTCGTGAGTGAAGTGAATGCCAGTCCTTTGCAACTCATTATCGCCGGCACCGGTAGTTTGACACGACATCATGTGATAGTATGGACCGGGCGTTGAGTAATGGAAAGTCAGATCCGAAAGTTTGTGTTCGTAAAGGACTTCCTTCTCATGAGAATCATAGATACGTAAGGAATAGGAGTGTTGGCGCTGAAGATCTGTTAACACACAGAGCCAGGCCTGGGATAGACTACTCGTCCACACTATCGGCGTATTTGGAGCTAAAAACAACTCAATTCTGGACCGGAATATGATGTGAGACATGAATTCAGAGGCACAGAATAAATATCTCATAGGAATTAGATTTAAAATACTTATTATTGTATTATATTATTAGTGGAAATAACAAACTTTGTTACAATATATAAATTATTTGCTTATGTTGTATGCATTACGTGTCTAAATAACAATAAATTCAATTTAATTCAATATTTAATTACTAATCGGTGTAAACTGGTATGAATGCAAAAATAGTAAGCACTGGTATTCAATGAATTGTGTGTTAATCGGGTGCTGGGATTAAAATGTTGCAATTATATTACATATCGGATGACTCACTAGAATTTGGTGAAAACAAATGAGAAACGATTTGTTAAAACAATAAAAACATCTTTCATTTGATGATTACGAGTAAAGTGAATTCAACAGAAATCTTGAAATTTTATATTACATATCGGATGACTCACTAGAATTTGGTGAAAACAAATGAGAAACGATTTGTTAAAACAATAAAAACATCTTTCATTTGATGATTACGAGTAAAGTGAATTCAACAGAAATCTTGAAATGGTATAAAAGTCAAGGTTTATACCTTGATGCTAATATGGTATTTCTCTCGATTTAAGTCACACATGTATTATGCACTTAATTAACATTTATTTCATTGAATTAATGAACAACTAATAAACAACTAATAACTGTTTCTGTATATAAATTATTATTTAAATAAATAAAACCTATTATTGATTATTTATACAGAATGTGTGACGACTAAATAATACCTGTATCATGTTGTGTATTAGTTTTATATTGAAAAATACAAATTGATTATATGATATTTGTGTCAGTCTAACACATTCAAATGACAAAATATATAATAAAAGAGTTTATTACAAGATTTTTGTGAAATAGGCATAAATTACAAAATTATTTATTAATTTACTGTCCCTTCAATAAAAAGGCGATGTGAGCCCCGGTATGGATACATGAATCACTCAATAAAACATAGAGTTAGCCATCACTGGTGATGGGGGCGGGAGGTTGGATACACTCAAGAAGTGTTTGTTGGCTATAATAGACTCAATCGTCTTATACGGATCTGTTTGAGTGGACACCGATATGTATGTCCGTTCGGGCACTGATGACAGACTGGGCCCTCCCGTTCCCTTAGTCCTTGGTTTTGGTGTAGGTTTTGTACTCATAAACACAACCTCTGGTTCATCGGTTTCAGACTTATCCTCATCTGGAGGAACGGTATCTCCACTAATATCACTGCTATTATCATCTTCTATACCACTGATCCGTTTGTCGATGTATTCGCGCATAAACTCGCGGTTCTCTTTGGGCTCCATTTGTTGCCTCGAAATACCGATGCTCTCGAAGTATTGGCACAAATTGTGGTCAAACTCTGGGGTCGAGTCAAAGCCCGTCCTCTCATTCCAGCCGACGTTCAAAACGTGTCGAAAGTCTCGAGGGTTTTCAATGTCTGCTTTCGTCAGCTTTTGTTTAATACTCTCTAATGTCTTATGAATTAGAAAAAAGTTTTTATAAATAGTTTTTGACTTTTTTTAAATTTAATTAGTTATGAAACACACCGCACGCCTGTCCACAAAACCGTACACCTTATCGGCCAACCGTTTCAAACTACTGCCAATACTATTAATCGATTCCGTGGACTGACTGCTCTTGAGTTTCACTTCAGAGGACAGTCGTGTGCGCACAGTATCGCCGAAATGTATGGCCTCTAACTTATCAGCAAAATTAAGGCCAATCAAGCGGTCGGGCGTCTCGAATGTGTGGAACAGATCCAGTAGTCGGTTGTATACCATTCCTTCTGTCAGTTTGTGTTCAAAGAGTTGTTGTTTCTCAACGAAATCATAGACACGGATGTAGTTGTGGTTCCCATCAGTGACCAGACATGCAATACCTATGCCCTGTATGTGCCAGTGCTTGTCGTTGGGCCGCATCGACACCAATATCTGTACTAATGTTGTCGACAATGTCTGTCCCATAGAAATAAAGTATTAATTGAGTTAATCTACAAAATAGTTATAAAAGTTTAGTGAAATTCTTTATACAGACAACATGTTTAAGACTTACTCTGCAGTCATCCCCTAATAATGAACTTATGATTGAGTTCTCCTGTTTGGTCAATAGGGCCGACCATTTGTGACCCCTTTCCACCGATTGATTATTTGTTGCCATTGTTTTAATTAAATGATAATTTTTAACCACTCGTTAAACATGTATTAAAGTTTTGTTTTAGTGACAAGCAATGCATTAAAACATTGCTAACAAACTAGACATGTTTCTTTTAAATTTAATTGGTTTTAGAAATAAGTGAAATAATATGATACATTGTAAACAAAGAATTTATTTTTAAATAGTAATGCTATTATGTAAGCTATCAAATATTTAAGTAGCATTTATTTTGTAATAAGTAAAACATATTTCACTTTTGTTCAACACTTGTGTGTTGTTGTGGTAACTATTAAATCAAATTTACGAATAATATGTGATTAGATTAGAGGGGATTGACTTAATTGTGAGATTAAAGGTCTTAACAAATATTAATATAAGTTACTATAAAAATATAAATTCTAATAATATTGCACTTTAATTAAAAGTACAATGCCTTAATCTACACCTAATAATTGTCTAGATAAGACACTATCAATTAGCATATTCAGAATATTTTAACAGTCAAAATTCAAGAAACTATTTTTTTATGTTTCAAGTTTTAAATTATAAAGTATGTGGATAAAGTTTAAGTTGAAAGTATAAAATGCAATTTAGAAATAATTTATGGTATCAAAAACTTAAGGTCAAAATCATATGAAACCTTTATTTACCTTGTTAATAACGGCTAAGAATTATATATTAGAATTAGATTCTTTATTTTAAATATAATTTGAACAAAAAATTATTATTAAATTTACTCGAAATAGTTTAATACAACAAATATATAATAAGTATAATAAAACTTATAATAAATAACATGAAAAATATTTTTAAACATTTCATTAATTTTTGTCGACAAATATCTCCGCCATTCTTGTAATCCATTGTGAGATCCGACTTCTGAGACGATTATCATCGCAATTGACAACCAATTCTTGTATTGACGGCAATAACTCGGGAACCAATCGCTTGAATCCAATTACCGAAAGACCTAAATGGAGAT